GGGCCCAGGGCTCCTGCCGCTGCTACCGCCCCGGGCCCTTTAAATCGCCACTGGAGCCTCACTGCCACTACCCCAGGGCTCCGGGGACAATTTAAAGGGCCCGGGGCCCTTTAAATAGCCCCTGGAGCCTGCCAGAGGCCTTGGGTAGCGGCGGCAGGGCTCTGGTGGCTATTGAAAGGGTTCGGGGCTTTCCGCTGCCGCTAGCACCCCGGGCCCTTTAAATAGCCACCAGAGACCTGCCGCCGCTACCCCAGGGCTCCAGCAGCAAGGCTCCGGAGACTATTTAAAGGGCCCTGGAGGGTAGTGGCAGCCGGAGCCTCGGTCCCTGCTGCTGGAGCCCCGGGGCTCTGTCGACAATTTAAAGGGCCCGGGGCTCCGCTGCGGGAGCAGCAGCTAGACCCCAGGGCCCTTTAAATCACTCCCCAAACCCCAGGGCTCTGCAGCTGGGAGCTCAGGGGGTAATTTAAAGGGCTTGGGGCTCCCACTTGCTGCTACCACAGCCCTAGTCCTGGGCCCTTTGGGGATTTAAAGGCCACGCCTCTTCCGGTGGAGGCCATGCCCCTCAGGACTCCGGAGTACCGGCAAGTCCTTTAAGTTACTTTCACCCCTGGTCCCTCCCCAGCGAGCTCCCACACGGCCCCAAACCGCCCCAGCGAGCTCCAATACAGCTCTACACTGCCCCTGCCACTTCTGCAGGCAGGGTCCCTCCCCAGCCAGCTCCCACACAGTCCCAAACTACCCCTTCCACTTCTGCAGGCAGGGTGCCTCCCCAGCCAGCTCCCACACGGCACCAAACTGCCCCTTCCACTTCTGCAGGCAGGGTGCCTCCCCAGTGAGCTCCCACATGGCCCTAAACGTCCCCTGCCAGCTCTGCAGGCAGGGTTCCAACTTCCTCCCCAGCGAGCTCCCACATTGCCCCAGCCACTTCTGCAGGCAAGGTCCCTCCCCAGCGAGCTCCCACACCAGGCTTGAAAGGCAGTTAGTGGCGAGCCACCCACATAACCCCTGGCACCTCCACTCTCCAGTTCACAGCACACTATCTCTTCCCAGCACAGGCATGCTACCCACAGCCATCACTCCCAGGGGGAAGACAGGGGAAAGACTCTTTAAGAGGCAGTGTCCACAGAGAAGATGAACTCCAAACCTTCTAGATGCAAAGAAGGGGGAAGGGAGAGGCAGGTTGGTGGGAGGCGGGAGAAAAAGAAAATCTGTTACGTAAGGGGAATAATTGGGCCAGGAAAATGGACAAATGAGCCTATGTAAAAACAGATGGAAGAACATAAGAAGCGTTGTTCTATCCGTTCTGCGTAGGTTGGAAACCCTTTGGGACAAGAACCTGTCTTGGTTTATGTCCTGAAAAGCAGCCAGCACACACGGAGGTGCGGCATGTCAGGTCAAGCAAGGCAGCAGCCTGCTTGGGTGTCTACAGTAGCTTCAGCAGCTCACACACCTCACAACTTCACTTGATCAACTCCACTCTCTCCCACTAGCTTGAGCCTTACCAACTGTCCGACCAGCCACCTGCACTTCCATACAGATCCCACCACCCTTGTTCCAATTGAAGGGGGTGGTGGATGTCTCTGCCTCAGATGGACACGCTCTCTCTCTCTCACTTCTCAGGATGCTGCTCAGTCATCCCGCCAGAAATGGCATGTTACTGATTTGCCTTTAGAATGGGCTAGAGACTGCACCGGGAGAGGTAATTGGGGGAGGAGGGGAGAGGAATGTCTTGGGGGAACATTTACCCCTCCGGAACCTACTGCAACGTCTCCATCCCTTCCTCCCCATGTACAGTGACACACCTTGGATGATCTCGACATACTCTGAGTATTGCTTGGAAGCAACACATGGACACTTGCAGCTGCTTCATCTCAGTTTGTGAGCTGAGTGGCGCTCCTGCCTCCCAGCTTTGTTCCTGTTGTGAGAAAACATCATTCTTCCATTTAAACAAACAACAGATTTCCCAGCCCTGCTGGGACATGGAGTATTGCACAAGCTAAGCGGGAAATGTTTGCGTGAGTTGGAGCCCCTGGTTAAAACACACACACACACACACACACACACACACACTCACACACTCACTCACTCACTCACTCACTCACTCACTCACTCACTCACTCACTCACTCACTCTCACTCTCTCTCTCTCAATTAATTGAAGGGGGAAGAATACAGAGACTGAGAATTTTGAAGCTCATTACCTGTCCTGCTACTGTGTCCTGTTCCCAAACCGGCCCTCTTCCCTGGATTCTACCCCACCATGCACAACCTGGTATCTGTGCCTTTGTTATCTGCGTCCCTTACTTGTTCCCCAAGCTGCCCCACTTGCATCCACCCCCTCCAACCCAAAACCTATTCTCCAAACTTCCTCTCCCCTAACATCTGCCTCCTGCCATCTAACCTTAAATTGCCTGCCCCCAACTTGGCCTCTGTTTCCCGGAATCACCCTGCCCCCTTATATAACTTGTCAAATGCCCTTCAGCTCTGTTCACTTTACAAGTACAGCTCCCACCTCCCAAACCGCTAGCTTCAACATGACATAATGATCATGCATCCCCCTGCCCCCAGGTGAACCTGTGCCTCAGAGCCCAGCTACCCACATTGCTTCACCGGGTGGGAAGAGCAGACAGGAGCTCACAGCTATTCCAGAAACACTGAATTACGATCACTGCACCTAAGGGACCAAGGCCGATCCAGACACCCAGCCCCAGAACACAGAGGCACCTAGCTCTATGCAGCACCCAGACACAGGGAGAAAGCAACCCTGAGCCGATTACAGCAGCACTGAACCTTAGGGACAAAGGGGGCTGGAGAAATTACTCTGATTGTAAAATGACAACTGCTGTCACTGGATACTGAAATGCTAGTGCCAACCAGCACCACTGGACATAAGACTTGCCAAAGCCCAGGCAGCATTAAGCCATGTCTAGGATAGGTTTTACAACAGTTTTTTTGAGGGGGTGGATGAGGTTCATATGCAACAGCCTGTTTGGCATTACTGCCCCTTTCTGATTCAGTCACTCAGGCTCGCTCAAACTGAGAGGCTGCTCCTGCCTTCACTTTCCTCTAGCAAACTCCGTGAGCTGCTGGCACAGATCCCTTGAACTGTAGACCTGAGTTCCACTTTATGTA